ATGTCAGTTTGTAAAACGATTTAAAAGTAGTTTGTTTGATAAAACGGTTTGAAAGTATAATAAATCCATATGTTTGGTAGTTATTAATCACATGTGATTGATATAATAGCTATGATATTCGACTTGTATCCCCCCATAAAAGTATTTAAAATCATGCAAGAGCATTTAAAAGGTTATTTAAAGGGTATGAACTCACCTGAAATGAGTGATGCGATAGTAGGACCGGTAAAGGATGCTAAGTGTCAAATGAGGACTTGGGCACTTAATGATCCTAGTTAATATATAATAAAACATATATGTATCTAATTATTCAATTATGTAACGCCCGGGTTTCAGGGCTAAGCATTTTTGTCAATGTAATAGTCTAGGTCAACTATTGTAACTCTTTTTGAAGTAATAAATATGAAATATTTGAGTATTATGTGAATTATGTGTGTTTATGTGTTTATTATTTAATTATAAATGTATAATTAATAAAGAATAAAAATGAGCGTCAAAATTTAAGTGTGAGATAATCCCGATATCTCTACACAAAGTTGTAGAATATGTCTCAAGGTTTCCGTACATATAAAGAATGCCGAAATCCGAGCTATAACGAAGAAGTTATGACCCGCCGAAGTTTTACGGCAAAACCGGCACGGCACCGGGAGACGTAAATAGTGAATTTACGATAGAAGACTTTTTAGCCTTAGCAATCTAAACAAAAGTCGTAGAATATGTTAAACTAAGAACATCGATAAAAAGAACGCCCAAATCTGACTTCGTATGAAGAAGTTATGATTTTTCTAAGATTCGGCTTAGCAGTGCACGGCCCGAAACTCGAATTTTAGTTCGAGCGGTTTTTGGCTTACGCGACCTAAATGAGAGTTGAAGATCTCATTCATAGGAACTCAACGGTAAAAAGACAGACGAAAACGGAGTCCGTATGAAGGAGTTATGAACTCTTCGCGGTCATTTAACAGTCTAAACGCCTCCTACTGTTAAATTTGAGATCGGTCGAGAATTAGCCGACGGAGTCTAAACGAAAGTTGTAGATCTTGATTTTACCTACGCGTGGATATAAAGAACGTCGAAAACGGAGCTCGTATGCGAAAGTTATGATTTTTCTAAGTTTGAGGGCTGATACGCGATAGGGGTGACGTGGCACCACCAGAATTGGACACGTGGCACCACCAGAAGGCCACCACATGGACCAACTCGGCGAGTAGGTCCCCCTACTCGGCGAGTCCATCAAATCCTCCCCTATAAATAGAGGTGCCGGGTTCCCTCATTTCCTCACCCCTCACCCCTCTTCTTTCTCTCTCTAAACTCTCTCTCTAAGCTCCCTAACCCCCTAAAAGCCTAGGTAAACCCCCTAGCACCCGAAGGAAGCCCGAGGCTCCCGGAGTCCCGAGAAAAGAGCCTTTCGGCTCGGGAACGCTGCTCCAGCGAAGCCCGGTTTTCGAGAAAAACCCACTGTAAGTGAGCTGTACCTATCCTATCTTTAGTTTAGCTTATGTTTTAATATAGGAATGTTATTAGGTCCTTAAAATAATTATTTGGGCTATTATTATGAGTTATATTAAGTGTTATTAACACTTATATAATAATAATAATAGTCAGACAATTAATTTGTCACGGTTATCATTAGACTAAACCCTAGTGGTATCGATACTAGGTTTTATCGAAGGAATATCATTTTGAGAGTAGCGAAGCGCTGTCCGAGTGCTGAGTCACCACCTAATCAGGTGAGTGCATAGTTACTTTCAACTTACACATAGATATGAAGTATTTTATATAAATTACGTGCTATGTGTGCATATTATCTGAATACTTGCTATCTATGCTAGATGAACGTTGTTATACATGTTTTCAATGATTAAACTGTATATGTATTTTATATCTACGAAAATGTTGGGGTAAAACATGGGTAGATGTAATAGGTGATGTGTGATAAAATGATGAGAGGCCTCGATGTTGTTGTTGTTGATCCAGTCATCTAGCGGAGTATAGATGACGACCACGGACTCTTCTAGACAGTCCAGTGGAACACTAGCAGGCTCGCAACCTGTAGGTGTTGTGAACGATGTGTTCACCGGTGTACTCCATCCCCCACATGGTTGCCTATTAGGACATTTATTGTTGAGGAATCCCCTTAGCAGTAGTGTCCGTCCCGATGATGATCCTTAGGCTAGGTCCCTTATGATAGGTGTTTAGGGACGTAAAGTGAGGATAACGGGAACGGGTAATCGGGTTATTGTTGATTGATGAAATTAATAAACTTATTTATTGTGGGTTGAAAACCCTATGTGCTCACCAGGCTCCCAAGCCTGACCCACTCAGTTTTATGTATTACAGGTAGTGGCGCATGAGCATAGGTGTGATGTTTTGGACGAGGGATTACGGATATAGGCCTGTAGATATGAAATAATGTAGTAAGGCTTATATTGTACTGTTTATACTTTTGATCTGTACGAACATGACATCCCGAGTCTTTTAATGAAATACATTTCTATGGAAATGCTTTTGATAAATCTTTATCATATTATTGTTTTGGGACAAATTCCGCAACCCTTTTATTAAAAGACAACTCTGATTTTGAAATAAAGTATAAACAAAACCGGTCATTTCTGGCCGTGATTTTGGGGATGTCACAAATTAACAACTAATTAATCAATTTAAAAAAACCCTAGGACATGGAAACACTTTGATTCAAGTTTTATAGGTACCAACGCGTTGCATCTAAAGGGTTGTATAGCATGGCATTGGAGTTTATGGCCCAAGGACCACTCCTTATGGAGTTTACGGCCCATGGTCATTTCCCCATGAGTTTATGGCTGTAAACTCATGGTACTAAGTGTCATATTGTGTTTTGAGGTCTTATAAGTCATGATTGCACATCCAATGATCAAGTCCAAGCCTTAGGAAAGCATTAAGGCCACAAGATCACCACTTTGTAGAGTTTACGGCCTAAGGACCATATCCTTATGTGTTTACGGCCATAAAGTCTTATGGGGATATGTTTTGATTGTTGTTTAAGGTGTTAAACACTTTTAGGAAGGATCGAGGTTAGTATCCAAGGCTTAGGAAGGGACTAGGGTCCATTTAACCCCCTTAAGAAGGGTTTACGGCCCAAGAACATCCTTGGCCGTAAACTCCTTTGTTCTTATGATTCTTGATGATTTTCAAGTGTTATCAAGTTCATATTAAGCACACAAGAAGCTAGGGCAAGTGTGCTTACAAGATAGAAGCTTGATTTGGTGTTTAAGGTCTAAGAACATTAGTGCGTGTTCTTGGTGTTTTGAAGCACACTTGGAGATCTAGATGAAAAGCAAGAATGAATGGATGAAATGATGTATAACTACTAGATGTTAGGTTATAACAACAAATCAAGTCGAGAAACACTTACGTTTTCGGAAGATCAGGTGAAGAACGGGATGCTAGTTGAGAGAGAATGGGGGTAAACTTGAGGGTGGAAGTGAGAAATAAAGAGTTTGGAGAGTAAACTCATGCCTAAGGCATGAGTTGACGACCACATGGGAGTTTACGACCCAAACTTTAAAAGTTTGGCCGTGAACTCCTTATTAGGGTGGTATGTGTGGTTTTGCAACTTCAAGACCCGAGACGGTACTTCCTTTCCTTCGTTCGTTTGAAGAATAAATACTAAAAACACTCAAACGGACTTTAAATTGGCCAACAATTATTAGAAATGCAATTGACTTTTAATTGAAGCGATTGACTTTAGAGTTTGTACGAAAGAAAATTTCGGGTTGTGCATGACTTATTAATTAATACCATATGAATTATATATTGTGTTAATTGCTAATGAAAATTATTATTTCCTAGAAATAAATAATTTTCAGTTTAATTATAAGGGTTTATTGAATATTTATTAAAGCAAATTTCTAATAAATAATCAATTGTATTAAGTTGTTGTTAGTGTGACCCATTAGTATGATATGTTAATTAGCAATATCATTTTAATTTGACTCTAGAGCATACTAGACATTTTCAGAATACACACTAAAATGCCACAAAAACACTCAAAGCTCAAGAACACTCAAAGAGGGTGAAACTACGGTTAGATGGGTCGTAATGAATTGTGGAGGTTGATGAGTGTGAGTGTTCAAAGGCCATAATGTTGTTTACATATGGCTCATGCCCTAAAAACTAGGGTTTAGTCTTTGGTTACGTACGCCCTACGTACACTGAACGTATGTGGCTAAGCCCCCCAATCCAAAAGCACGCATGTACGCTAAGCGTACCTAAACGTACGCCTAGTGTATGAGGGGACCATTTTCACAAAAAATTCAAACTTCAAGGACCAAAGAGGAAAATACCTGGAATCGAATGTTACATAGTCTAAAGTAGCCGATTATAAGGATTAAATTTGTACAAAAAAAAATAAATTGTCAAATATAAGTATAAAAAACATTAGTAATTAAATATATATTAAACAAAAAATATACTACTCGTTAAAACATTTTCTTAAAATAAAACTATAAAAAAGTTTGCAATTTTGTCAGATTAATATGTCTAATAAATAAAGATCTTTTTTATCACATATCATATTCTCATTCATTTTGTGGTTATTTTAAATTAACTTTTATCCACATGTAATTTTATGTTTTTTTTTTCCATTTTATTGAATTTCACATAATATTTAAATGTAATAATGTATAATAATAAATGAATATCTGTTTCATTAATATACTTATATTCTAATTTCAAATTTCATAAATTAAAAACCTATTAATTTTCTTTGTTTATTTATATAAACTATTTGTTTAAATTTATAAGAGAAAAAAACAATTTTAATAATTAATATTTTCTTAGTTTCTTATAAATTCCAACATCTCATATTTAGAAATTTTTATTCAACTTTTTTTTCTTTCTGTTCTAGTATCTTATAAAACCATATATCAAATATTTAGAAATTTCTATTCAACTTTCTTTTTGGTTCTAGTATCTTATATATAGTGGAATTTTGTAGAATATTATTATTTTATTTTTTTCTAAAAATGATATCCTAAGGATTAGACCAAAGCACAATTTCCCCTTTCACAAATTTAGACCTGAACCCAACGGCTTATGACTTGAAAAAGGGCTTATACTGCTGCCAATTACGTTTACGCCTACGCCTACGCCTCCCCACCAAATTCAATGTTGTCAAATCGTCGTCCGTAGAAATCCATCCATCCACCTCCGTTTCTCGTACCCCCAATCCCTCCCTGCTTCGTTTCTTGCTCCAAATTAGGGTTCTTATATTTCAATCTTGTAACTCCAATTGGCCTTTTTCTTCATCTTCTTCATCTTTCCCTTTCGATTGTCGTCGTTGTATCAATAAACCCATCTCTGATTTGATTCCTGATAGACCCGTGTATATATATACAGCTTAGGAATCAGTAAACCCCTTGTCTTTCTTTTCATCCGAAAGGGTTTTTTTCGTTGTTAGATGCTTTTGGATAATGTCGGATGCGAATATTAGCAATCAGCATCTTCATCGAGCTACCTACGAGCCTGTAAGTTTACAGCGTCATCATCATCAGCAACAACAAGGAATTACTATCAATAGCAATAACGACGATGGAAATCAACATCACATGGTTGACGATGTAGTAGTAGAGGAAGACGACGACGACGTTCCCGGAGGCGAAGAAGAGTCTATCGATAACCCTAACCAGATCCGTTACGACCACCACAATCCACATCATCAACACCATGGTTTACAAAACGGCGGTGGCTTGGAAGGCGGAATGGAGGAAATGAGTGCTCCGCCACATGGTCTGTATGTTCCGGAGTCTGAAATTCAGCAGCATGCGGTGGGTGGTGGTGGTGGTACTGGTGGTGCTGATCAGCTTACGTTGTCGTTTCAGGGTGAAGTTTATGTGTTCGATGCTGTTTCACCTGAAAAGGTTTTCGCTTTACTCTCTGCATCAATCGCTGACCTAATCCAACAAGTTTGTAGCTTTTCATTGTGGTTTTTTAAAGCTGTATAATTTGCGTTACAGGTGCAATCTGTTTTGCTACTGTTGGGTGGATATGAAGTACCTACAGGGGTCACTTCTTTAGGGATACCTCCTCAGAATCAAAGGGTATGCCTTATAAGTAATTAAGCATAATGATTTGTATATGATGATTGATGATTTGAGTTTATTGAAAGTTTTTCTTGAAATGTATTGTTACAGGATTTGGCAGAATTTCCTGCAAGATCAAGTCAATCTCAAAGGGCTGCATCATTGATTCGGTTTAGAGAGAAGAGGAAAGAAAGATGCTTTGATAAGAAAATCCGTTACACTGTTCGAAAGGAAGTTGCCCTGAGGTGGTACTAGAATTATCCGAAATCTATCATTGTTTCTTTTTATTTTAAAAAAAAAAACTTATGCTACATAAGATCTGATTTTTATAATAAAAACAGAATGCAACGAAAAAAGGGTCAATTTACATCATCCAAGGCAACTTCAGATGTATCGGGTTCTTCTTCCGATTGGAATGGTGGGCCCACCCAAGATGAAGAAACAACGTAAGTATCCACTCTGTATACATGACACGACAGAACAGAACAAGTTGTACTTAATCAGTATACTGTGTTAGACATGATATGACATAACAGAACAGGTTGTACATAGCTAGTACTCGTACTAGTGTGATCGGACAATTTTTTTTTTTTTCCGTATGAAAAGACGTGAATGCCCTTGTCCATACAGATGTAGGCACTGTGGAATAAGCTCGAAGTCAACTCCGATGATGCGACGTGGGCCCGATGGGCCAAGAACGTTGTGCAATGCGTGCGGACTCAAATGGGCTAACAAGGTAATAATTCTTTTGCTTGTCATTTTGTGTTATGAAGTGAATAGTTGTTGACTTATTATTGTTATTATTATGGGAATTGATTTTTTTCAGGGACTTTTAAGAGATCTGAGCAAGGTTTCAGCAGCAGGAAGTCAGGAAGCAGGTGGAAAGGGGAACAACTTGGAAGCTGGAAATGTGAATGCTGCTGTGCTTGTGGTGTCTAATGGAGATAGTTCGGGTGTGGCTGGAGAAAGGTGAGTGATTTGAAGTAAAAAAAAAGGTGTAAAATAAGGGAAAAAAAGATGCTTCCGGGTTTTATGAATTCGGTTATTACAGAGATTTGTAGACATTAATGACAGCTACAGTGTATGAGCTGTATTACATAGTGTTGTTAGTTGTAGGTTTTCGAATCTTTGGTGTTTGTATCTCTCCCTCTCTGATCATCTCTCATTAAACATCGATTCATTTGAGTATGTTTGTGTTTTTATCTGTTAAATCCTAAACACAAAACCCAAAACCTGTTGTTTCTGTTGTTTCAGCTTCTCCATTGGTAGTCTGTAATTAAGAAAATTGCCCTAAAAGGTTGCTGAAGACAGTTATTGAAGAAATCCCCTGACTTGTGTTTGTTGGAAATATAAACAGATATTAAAAGTTTTTAACTTTTTTCTTTTACTATTATTTAAGTATGCGGATTTTAAAGATTACCAGGTGTTTGTTTTTCAACTTGACATTGGTTAAGCTGCAAAGTTGAGATGAATGGAGATGTTAGATTATCGGTACTTGAATTCAAAGTAGACTTGAATGACATGATTGAATTTAGTTTTGTAAAATTTTATGTCTGTTTGTTAATTTATACACTTGGACTGAAATAGCCTCTTTCAGATTTGGTTGTTTTTCGTAGTCTACAGAATCCTTGCACACATGTACAAATGTAGGTTGCTTTTAGGTGCATAACAGCCAACTAGATGCCAACTAGATGGTTGGGCCCACAAAGAGCCCTATCCATATTTGTAATTAAAACTCAAACCCTTGTTCCTTGACAATTTCTGCAATAAATCATAAACAAATGTAGGCTTTAAGGATTGGCCCACAAAGAGCCCTATCCATATTTGTAATTAAAACTCAAACCCTTGTTCCTTGACAATTTCTGCAATAAATCATAAACAAATGTAGGCTTTAAGGATTGGCTTGCCTTTATCAACGATGCAACCTTGATTTTTTGGTTTCGTGATGTTTTTGAGTTAGTTTCGTTACGGATTTGGTACCTCAGTTTAACGCCCCAAAAATACCAAGTAATTTTTTCATTATAAATAAGTCGAAACCATTTATTCAATATCCCAAAAGACGATCATAATAAAAGTATTTTTCAAAACATCAGAGTAAAGTCATAAACAATCAATACGGAATAAATCTCCAGGGGATGTAGTGTGATCAGATCGAACTCTTCCTTTTGAAATCAAAAGTACCTGAAAACATTTTAAACATAAACCGTAAATATAAAGCTTAGTGAGTCCCTCAAAATACCACAAAGACAACAAGCGGATATAGGTATATCAACAAGTGTCACAAAGACAACTATTATCCTACATGTAACATCCCGGAATATCAAGAGTAGAGTTGAAGGGCTAAAAGTGAAAATGTATAAGGGCAACTCGGTGAGTAGGGTTGCGACTTTGGTCGCGTGTTAAGTGGCCTACTCGGCGAGTCCAAAGATGGACTCAGCGAGTAGGCGCTGAGTGGAGAAAACCCTAAATCCGGAGGATGAGCCCTATTTAAAGGACATTATACCCTCTCCCCAGCCTCTTTGATCTCCCTTGAAGTCCAGAAACCCTAGATACGTGATTATGGAGGATTTGAGTGCATTTGGAGCTTGGGGAAGTGATTGTTGAAGAAATCTTAAAGGAGAAGAGACTTGGGTCAAAGGGTTTTGCAAGGATTCGGATTAATCTTCTCTTGGAGCTTCCTTTTGAGGTATTATTTCATTGTTTGAGCTGCTATTATCTAGATTCATCATTTTTGGAGGTGTTAGAGATCATATCTTTTGATGTATCGGAGTTTAGAGGTTAGATCTGAGATTGCTACCTCAGATCTAGAATGGAGAAGGGTTAGAATGCATAAAGGTCCCTGTTTTGAGAGATTGATGGAGCTATCTTGTCCTAAACCCAAACCCTAGAGTGAAAATGCCTAGATCTCCTTGGATTCACGTAAAGATTGCCACTTTACGTGATGGATGGTCTTAGGAGGGGTAGATCTATGGTTTGGATCATCTGCATGGCTTGGAAAGCCTCTGTATGGATTCAGACCCGGTGGTACTCGGCGAGTCACATGGGTGGACTCGGCGAGTTGCTTGAAGAAAGGCTGGAACTTGGCGAGTTGGAAGAACAACTCGGTGAGTTGGATGAAGATGGCCTGGAACTCGGCGAGTTGTATGAACAACTCGGCGAGTAGGTTGAAGATAGTCGTAGACTCGGCGAGTCTGGTCTTAGGGTCCAAGTTTCGTTTGGATGGGCTGTGACTCGGTGAGTCAAGGGATGACTCGGTGAGTTGTGTGCAAGTGGACTCAGAGTTGTTGGACTCGGTGAGTCTCGGGGTGACTCGGCGAGTTGGGTCGCGAATTGAAGGAGGTTCTGTGTATGGGGACTCGGCGAGTCATCGGGTTAACTCAGCGAGTAGAGTCAGTCAGGGGTAGACTTTGACTTTGACCTTGACCAAGGGTTGACCAGTTGACTTCCAGGGATAATTTGGTAATTATTGGTATTTATTGGATTCAGTCTTTTGGGTATTGACAGTGGTGGAGTTCGGGTTGGAGGTTGCAGCAGCGTGATCTTATCCTTTTCAGTCAGCAGTTGCGAGGTGAGTTATCCTCACTATATCGACAGGGTCTAAGGCACCAAGGCCGACCCTTTATCGGATTGAGATCCGTGTATTTGTTGATTATGTTATTGCTTTGATATGTCTGCATCCTGGTAGTTAGGATGATATATGTTAGAGACCTGGTTAAGGTCGGTTTCCTAATATGTAGGGTGATGCTATGCTAGTGACCGGTTAGGTCGGTATCATGGTCAGGAGGATGATATGTTATGTGAACTGTTTGATCGGCTTGTTGACTGTGAACTGTTATATGATTGTATGTTATATGCACATGGTTGTTTGGACTGGAGTGGGTTGAGGCGGGTCCTGCTTTGTGTTGTAGGCCAAGATACCTAGGGCGGACCGGTTATTCCGAAGGCCCAGCGAGCGGTCCGGATAGGTTGTAGGCCCCCACGAGGGCGGACCAGACGTGCCGAGGCTCGGAGAGTGGACCAGGCCGACTGAAGGCCCGATGCGGGCGGACCAGTCATACTGTAGACTCAGAGAGTGGACCAGGTGGGTTGAAGGTCCGGTGCGGGCGGACCAACTACACTGCAGACTCGAGGGACATGACTGGACTCGGAGGGTGGACCAGGTAGACTGAAGGCCTGACACGGCGGACCAGTCACATAGTAGACCCAATATGCATGGCTGTTCTGTGATTCGATATGATATGGCATGTTATGTGTATGGTATATGTGGTTGGTATTTTGGGGGTATCTCACTAAGCTTTCGGGCTTACAGTTGTGGTTTAATGTTTTTCAGGTTCTTCAGGAGACCGTGGCAAGGCAAAGGCGTGATCGTACCGCTCCTCATGTTTATGCTTTATGATATGGACCTGGGAATACTCTGATAATAAATGTATTGAAAACCTTTTTGTAATAACTTAATGAATTGGGATGTTTTTGAAAAGTTTAAATTTTGTTGAAATTTTTGGTCGTTACACTACAAACATAATCCGGTGGGCCGGCATTGAAGCCTTCAACCCACAGGTACGGTGAAGATAACTATTCAACATAAGCCCAAAAGCTACCTTAGCAAAAGAACATCCAACCCAAGCTTCCTAAAGCCAAACTGAAACAAATCCTTAGCCAAATGCTCAATTTTACACAAGTTTGACCAAAGTCAAAATGGTTAAAGAGTCAACGATCAAAGTTAAAGTCAAAATTGCCAATCAGCAGCCCTCCACATTGTGGCCTTCCTTGGCGACGTCATGGGAACAAAATGCCAAAACAGTTGTTGATTCCCCATTCGCCACATCGTGGCAACCTAAGGCCATGCCGGCCAGTCCGAACAGCTCAAACGAGCTTAATCAATTTTTCTTCCGATTTCAAGAGCTCCAAAGCTCAGACCTGATCCTTTCCAATGTCTCAATGGGTAAAGTTTCTTACTTTATCCATTAGGAATGTCTAAACCACCAAGGTCTAGACTTTAAGTCTCAAAAGTACCTAAAATGCATCTTTCTTAACTTAATCCATTAAGTTCAAGTTTCCAACTGCATATCCGAATCAACAAGGTGTCTCGATTGATAAAGTTTCCAACTTTATCCATAATAATGCCACAATCTTCCAAAATCTAAACTTTAATATACCAAATGACCTAAAGGACCAAGATAACTTGCATGGAAAGGGAAGGTAAAAGATTATAACTTTCCTAGTCCATGGGGTCCAAGAAACATTCCAAATTGATCAAAAGATGTTGGAGTCCACTTAACTCCAAGATCACTTATAAAATGGACAAAAAATGCCAAAAACACCAAATGACAAGATCTAATGAACTAGATAGCAATATTGAAACTTTATACTCACAATGGTCCAGAAATGTAGTGCCTTTGATGGATCCTAACTTGAAGCTTCATTCCTTGTAACCAAAAAAACCTTATTGATCTTTATGCTCCATCAAAATAACATAAAAATATCCAAAAAAGGAGGGATGAGAGAGGAGAAGCTTAAATCTTGAAGGTGGAGACTAGGGTTTCTCTCAAGGGATTCTAGAGGTGATGGAGGGTGATAAAATGTCTAAAAATGCGGAACTTATGCTTAAACACATTGAAAACCCTAAAATCATGGGCTTGGGCCTAACTGATCACCATGTTGTGGGCTCTGATCTCCACTCTATGGCGATGGTTTTCTCTAAAATCCACCTCAACTTCAAACAACTATAACTTCTTTGTTTCAACTCCTTTTCGGTGATCTTTATATCAACAGAAAGGTATTAACGAGCCCCACACTTCTATCTAGTTAATTTTGGCTTAAAACATGTCGAACTAAAAACCATAATCCACGCAAGAAGCCTAATATATAACTTTTTCCATTTTACCATTTGACTCCAAAATACAACCCAAAGGCTTAGATCATATAACCAATATATCATCCAATAGGATCTAAACCCTATTCCCTTTCAGCCCAAGACATTTACATGATTCATTTATTGCCCACAATCTTGAAATAAAAAACTTCTCGAAACAAGATGTTACATGAAATGACTTTAACACACTTGGTGTATTTATTTTTCTTTTTTTCTTTCCTTTTTTAATATCTAATAGTTATTTATTTATTTTAATAATTAAAAAAACATTCTCTCTCTCTCTCTCTCTCTCTCTCTCTCTCTCTCTCTCTCTCTGCGTAAGATTTTTGGGTGCTTTGTGTTTTAGTTTTCCCCCAAAAATTGAGGCTTTTCTTGTCTGGGATTTGTTCATCTTTTCTAGATCTAGGTAGTCGGTAATCATCAAAACATATAAAAAAAAAAGCAAAAAAATCTATAAAAGAAAAAATGATCATGAAATACTCATGTTTTGATTTTGATTTGGCGATACATGAGGTTCTCATTGAAGTGGTTCTAAACTATTCTCAATGGCCAGTTTTTCGTGCTCATAGATACGAAGACAATTTGATTTCACCTTTGAGGATCATAAATGGGTATGTCGTGGAAGGCATGTCCGACAAAGGGGAAAGAAAGCTTCGTTAAGCCATAAATCCATGATCAATCCAATTTCTACATACATAATCGACTTATCACCTCCAGACCCATTTGGTATGGAGATCGATATCAGCACCATTTTCACAGCCATCACCAGGTGGCTTGAAGATTTTGAAGTGGGATTACATGAAATATGTCATAAACAACTGAGGGGGAAACAACCACAAAACCGGTGTTGGGTCTAATGTTGCCGAATATGCTACTATCGAAGACGCTACTATGCTTGTGGAGGTGTTCTTTCCGACGGAGAGGATAGGGTTGGCGGAATGCTCAACGGTACAAATCGGAGGAGACATATGGATAAAAGAGAAGAATGAAGCAGCAAAGGCTGCTGTTGACTGCTGTAGTTAAGGGACTGATCCAACGTCCTCTTGATTGTTCCTATTTTAACCTGGAAGCAAACACGAAGGGAAGGCGCAAGGCAAATCGAATATAGAAAAACAACAGGTAGGGGCGTTTGGGTTGTTGTGAAGTCGACGATGAGCAGAAGGAAAACGAGAGGGGATGTTGCCCTCTTGACTGCCAGAAAATCCCAAAGTGGAGGTTTTCTCGATTAAGGGGGTGTTTGACTTAACTTTTTAAGGGGCCAAAAGTCCTTTTTGGAAAAGTTGTAAAAAGTCAGGTTTTCCTGACTTTTCCAAAAAGTTGATTTTCCTTCTATCAAAAATCCAAAAGTAGGTTTTAAAAGTATTTTGCCAAACATATTTTGCCTTCTATCTTTTTCTAAAAGATCTTTTGGCTTCCTAAAAGCTAAGCCAAACACCCCCTAAAACTGCACAAGAAGAAGGAAGGCAACATCACGTATCAGGGGGTATTTGGCTTGCTTGTCATTGAGAAAGAAGAAGGAAACATGGCTAGAACGGAGGGTAGCAGCCTCCGTTTTTTGCTTGGGTTTTCCACACACACACACAGAGACACACACACACACAAACAGAGAGAGAGAGAGAGAGAGAGAGAGAGAGAGAGAGAGAGAGAGAGAGAGAGAGAGAGAGAGAGAGAGAGAGAGAGAGGCTTTTTTTAATTATTAAAATAAATATTATAATAAATAAATAACTATTAGATTTAAAAATGAAAGAAAAAAAATAAATATATCAAGGGTATTACAGCCACTTTAGTTTTACTAAGGGACCAAATTCACAATGAAACTAACTTCAAAGGATCATGAAACCAAAAAAATCAAGATTTTAACTAAATCTCAGGAAAAAAGAAAATGCATACAAGACCATTATATATCAAATAACAAATAAAAAAGAAGAAAATCATCCATAAGATTTCAATATTTAAAAAACAAAAAGTCATCATCGGTCAAATATTTAGGCACAAACATCACAGATCGTGAGCCAGTTGCACTCTATATTGAGGTTCTGATGTCGTGTCGTATTCATATTCAAAATTCAACACGATAATAGAACGAAACGTGGTGTTCGTGTTCAAAAGACGTGTAATTAGTAGCTAAATATGTTGTTTTATGTCCACCTTTTTTTTTCGTGTTTAAATAAACATTTTTACAAAAACTTATGTATGATATTATGCAAATAGTTATTTTTTGTCATTTTTGTCGTATTATCGTGTTTTTATTGAGTCGTATTCGTGTTAATGAAAAACAACACGCTATCACGTCGTGTCCGGGTTAACAAAAAATAATTTGTATCGTATTGTGTTAAACAAAAACACATAACGACAACCCGATTTACCACCTTTACATGGATCAGTCTCCTGCAACATAAGAAACATACTAATTGTTTTGCACTATTTTAAGCCTATTTATTGTGTAAATACTAAATAGACCTCTACACTTTTAACGAATATTAACTAGAAAATATAATGTATTCGAGCGCCTCCAGACAACTCGGATGTAGACATCTCTTCATTTTTTCCATCGATCATCGAAGAAAAAGCTGCTTAAATTCAAGATATTATCTATGAAATTAGATATTTACACAATGCATACTTCAAATCTAGTAAGAATAACATGTTGGAATAGACCAAAGTACCCCTAGTAGTAAGACTTATAACCAACACAAATACTGGTCAAACAAACAATCAACCAATTAGGGTCTCCCTCTTCATTAAGACAGAAGACAAAGAATCAATCAATTGGGACCCAAGTAAATCAAACAAGCAATGCTGAAGCAACAAGCCAACAACAAAGCTTGAAGCACAATAGCAATCACAGATCAGAGACTCAATTTGACAACTCTTGGGTACAAATTTGAGGTTTAAATGGATTGTTGATATGGCAAGAAATGATGTATCTTATGGTGTTACAAAAACAAATTCCACCAATAGCCACAGTCTATTATAACAATAAAAGTTCAACAAGTCAGCTAGTTTGAGTTCTGATGAAGTAATACATCTCATCATCATTTTAGCTTTATAATTTGCAGGGCAACAAGCAGTGCATCCAAACTGACCTACACATGATCACTACAATCATTAAAAAAATATTTATCTTTGGACAATAATAACAAAGAATTTAAGCATGCCACACAGAATTGTGTTGGTGTTCCTGTTATTGATATGAATATGATATCATAATTTCAGTTGCTAATGTTGAAGCCTAAAGAAGAAAAGGAACTGTTATAAACTTCCAACCTCTATCATCTATCATTATCATTAAGGAGTGAATCTTGTGTATAATCTATCATATCAAATTAGTAGCTTTATTCCAAACTAATCATCATACTTGTTGAAATGCCAAAGAAAACCATTAAAGTAGGTAACTTTAGACATTTTGTGATTGTTAATTATTATTAAACACACATGATGCATCCAGAGCTTGCACCAATTCGAATCTGCAACAATTAGGAATCGATCGAGCGAATTAGGGCAAAAAAAGTTCGAATCTGCAGCAATCAGCTCTGTATCGTTCCAATTTTATCGGATGTCCCCGAAGGGACGATGTATGATGCTAGGCCAGGGTATAAGAAGCATAAAAGCCTTTCAATAGCAACCGATGTGGGAAGCCATGAATTGCAGCATTTTCACCACGAATCAAAAGAGAAGAGTTAGAAATCGATCAGTATGGAAAACCCTAATTTTTACTTTCTTCTTCGTTTTACCTCAAAGTCAACATACACAGCAAAATGAGCAAGTCACAAGGTGAATTACTAAAAAATCAAGATGGGTGCTGTTGATTTTCTATATAATTGTTAACGGTACAAAACAAAAGTCGCTATATTATTTATTTTATCAAAAAAAAAAAAAAAAAAATTCCATCCTTTTTTTTAACAAAAGAATTTCACTTATTTAATTTTCTCAATAAATAACTATTATTTGGTTTATTAGCAAAGGGTTTTTATGTGAATGCAAGTAGTAAATTATGGCTATTACTCGAACCGAAAGAATTGCATCAAAGCCTTGCATAATTTCTCTTGTATTCATTGGAAACCGTTTGCTAAGAATGGCATTCCGAGTACTTAGGCAAAATATTTTCCAAATAGCTTGGGAGCTTAAGGATCGGGATATCTCCCTTGAGGAGCTTTCTTGTAGAAATCTAGGGATTGGTGATCAAACTTATTTTTGGAAGGATAAATGGTGATAGTTAATTGCTATCAAACACCCAGAAGTTGCACCAATTCCAATTACGAACAAAGGAAACCAACAGAAGCTATTGAAGACAATAATTACATCAAACAGAAAATGAAAAACCCTCATCTCCACCTCTAAAAAAACACAGTTGTATAATAAACTTGATGCCTGATTATAAACTGATTCTACAAGACTATTCAGACAAGGAGCTTAGCACATTTCATCAGCAATGATCATAGCGTTTGTTAAGTGAATCCATATAAGTATCAGTAATTGCAGCAAATAACAAGAAATCAATAAATCAATAAGTTTTTTTAGCGAGATAAGGGAAAATGGCATTGAATCTAAGAGGATAATCTGAAAAAGAGATGCATCAATCGATCAAGCGAATTAGGGCAAAAAACAATTTGGATCCGATAGCGGTACCTTTCTGAACCAAATCTTGAAAAGAGATGCAGCAATCGATTGAGCGAATTAGGTCAAAAAAAATTTCGGATCATTTCTCGATTTGTGCGTGTCATCCTTACGCAGGGGCCATGCTAATCTTCTCTGTATCATTCCAATTTTATCGGATGTCCCAATTTTATGAAAAAATGTCTTAATATTTTGTTGTGTGTTGTGTCTGTAGTATGTGCCAAACAAGTGGCTGAAATAAATGTGTTTATGTATTGGACACCCTTTAATCAAATTCCTAAATAAAGAAGTTTCTTATTGGCTAATTGAAGATGTTCCTAACTGCTAATGCTTAATTTTGAATCAGATTCCTAAAAAATAAGTTTCTTTTGCTTTTTTAAGTTCAGTTTAATATTATTTTTTATCTTATTGCAATTATTGAATTCATATTTTTCTTTTACCTGTTTAAAGTTGAAGTAAATTCTTCGTTTGCATGTCATTAAGTGTTTAATTAGAGAAGATGCATAAAGATTGTTCCTAACCTTTACATGATGAATTCATATTTTTCTTTTAGTGTTTTGATTACAGAATCACCAAATTCTACCAATTTTTACGTTGTTTGTAGATGATAATTTATTGTTATTATTTTGTTAACTTTCGATTTGTATTCATTGCAAGGAATAGCAACAAACTTTCATTTTTTTTCTTTCTTTTCCACCACCCTCATTTTCCGACAAATGCTTAGGTTTCTTTCGTACCCCATGATTTGTTTTCCCGCCACTGCATTTTATTAACACAGGGGCCATTATGTAAGTTTTTTTTAACATAGGGACTATTTTGAAAATTAGTTACACCACTGATTTGTTGATAAAATAAACTCTATGCACATACCATGTTTTTTGAAAATGCATAAGTAAATGTTTGTTGAAACCAAAATTGTATGCTTGAAAGTTTATACCACTGATTTGTGTATGTAAATATTGTTATATGTATCTTAATTTTATATATATATATATATATATATATATATATATATATATATATATATATATATATTCTTTTTTTGTGCGTGATTCATGTTCTCTTTAATATGTTATGTTGGACAGGGGTAAAATTGTCAAAATTGCCATCGACACTCTAAAGGGATAACCGGATAAGCAACAAAGCTTCGACTTGTGTTTGTTGATATGTGTTTCGATAAGGATGGTAAACTATCAAATAAAACACTCAATGTTGTGTATAAACAAGTTTTTAGAAATTTATAAAACCTTTGTATACTTTTATTATTTATATAGATTTCAGTTTCTGTTTTTATTTATATTTATATTGCATTCTACAAAATTATAATTTTCTAACATATCTACATATACAAAATGCCAATTGGATATTCAAACCAATATCATTTTCTAATTTCAGCCAATAATTATGTCATTGTGATATGTATTTATTATTTATTAAAGTTTTTATTATCAATTCTTAATAATCAAGTTATAATTTAATTAAAACTATTTTTAAATTATTCATCCGTGGTGTCCACCGGTTATAACCTAGTTATAATAAATAGAGAGAAAGGTCACAGTAGGGATGTCTAGAAAACACAAAGAAATAGCACAAATTCAATCAAAAGGCTTAATGTATTGATTCTAATCAATCAAAACCATATAAACAAAAGATAACGCTAATGACAAAATTACCCCTCCATCATTAGCACTAATTATGTTAGTCAAGTTTCGAGTTCAAGACCTGAAATTATTAGTAGAATCAACTAAAACAGAAATAGCAGAGCATGCTTTCTGTTAGGTTCATAAAATCAATATTAAATGGATCTTGATATAACTAAAGTCTAGCATAATATTAACTAAGGAGCATGAAACAACACTAAGAGACAACAACCATTTATCCTAATCTAACTTTTTGAACAAGTCAACTTCTAAAAGAAAATCCCAGCCCCAAATCATTCCTATTTCCAACATTTTTTTCACCTGCATTCATACTTAACTTGCTAGAGGGTATTGGATGAAAAGAACATAAAAATGATTGCAATCAATCTAATCACATACATAGTTAGATATAGATTGAAGGGCATACAACTTTAGACAGTTTGTGATTGTTAATTGCTATCAAACACCCAGAAGTTGCACCAATTCCAATTAAGAACATAGGAAACCAACAGAAGCTATTGAAGAAATAAGTACATCAAACAGAAAAAGAAAAACCCTCATTTCCACCTCTAAAAAAAGACAGTTGTATAATGAGCTTGATTCCTGATTATTAACAGATCCGACCAGACTATTCAGACAAGGAGCTTGCACATTCCATTATATTCATTAGCAATGATCATAGTGTTTGTTTTGTTAATCCATATAAGCATCAAAAATTGCAGCAAATAACAAGAAATCAATAAGTTTTTTTTGCGAGAGAAGCGAAAAAAATGGCATTGAATCTAAGAGGATCCGATAGCGGTACCTTTGTGAACCGAATCTGAAAAAGAGATGCAGCAATCGATGGAGCGAATTAGGGCAAAAAAAAAATTTGGACCATTTCTCGATTTGTGCGTGTCATCCTTGCGCAGGGGCCATGCTAATCTTCTCTGTATCGTTCCAATTTTATCGGATGTCCCCGAAGGGACGAATGACAATCGAAGGCGAAGCATTATAAAATCAAAAGCTTCCGTTCCAGCCACCGATGTGGGAAGCCATGGTATTGTTTCAATCAGACGATAATCTAACTATTGGGTTGTAAGCCCTGATTTTCACTGCACTCTTTTAGTTTTAACACCTCAAAGTGAAGATGGTGAAACCCTATCGGTATCAGGCACCAAACCAACCAGAATACCAGGCGACTTCTAATACATTTTAGTATTTTACTAGTATAGATAGAAAGGGGTCGACGTGTTTGTTTTTTTTGTTATTTTTTTTTTCGATTTTTTTTTTTAATTTTCATAAATAATAATTATATTTAGATACCCCATTATAAAAGTTGGGCAGAAAAATCAAACCACAAATAGAAAAAAAAAATGAACATAAAACCAATGGTTTGGTTTTTACTTTTTTAGAAAACGAAATATTCAGTTCAATTTCGGGTTTACAAATTAGAAAACTACAAAAACCCTGAACTACACCGATTTGTATATATAAATATAATTTATTTATAGATACCATATACAAACCTATGTAATTTTATAACAATTGATAGCATTCGAGTTGGTTAAGATGGTGAACATATGAATTTGAGGTTTCGAATTTAAATTCCTTAAGCTTATTTTACTTGTGGTGATTTACTCATCCCACATCGGCTAGATAGTAAAATTTCTTATTACTTTCTAATTATAAATATATTGATCCAATTGCAAACTTCTACGTTATATTACATCTAATGTCACATCTATTGATGGATATATAATTATTTTGTCTTTATCTATAAAATATCAAAAATGACATATACCTTAATATTTGGAGTTTGATTGATATTAATTTGGGAGACCGAAGCTTCTTTTTTTATTATAAATTTTTATAGTTGTTGATGGGGTTTAAAAACAGAAACGCAATAAAATAATTAATTAATTAAAAAACGTAACTGATCGGTTTAGTATGGTTTTGGTTTTAACAATCAAAAACTGATATGTGTGGTATTCGATTAAGGTATTACAACCATTTTAGTTTACTAAAAGACCAAATTTGCAACGAAACTAACTCAAAAGAACTACGAAAAAAAAATTCAAAACTTGGACTAAATCATAGGGAGAAAATGCATACATCATGACCATTATATATCAAATAACAAATAAAAAATAAGAAAATCATCCATAAAGATATCATTATTTGAAAAAAAAAATATCATCATCGGTTAATATCCATGCACAAACACCACAGATCAGTTGCATTCTATATTGAAGTTCCAATGTTGTGTTGTATTCATGTTCAAAATTTAACATGATAATAGCACGAAACGTTGTGTTCGTGTTCAAAAGACATTTATTTAGTAGCTAACTATGTTGTTTTATGCTATTTTTTGTCGTGTTTAAATAATCTTTTTTGGGAAAATGACTTATATGGGTAATTATGTTTCAAAATTGTTCAAAAAATACCATTCAAATTTGGTGTGTTCAAAAAACACCATCCAAGTAAAGCATTTGTATAAAAAACACCAACGAAGTATATTCTTTGTTCAAATTGGTCCTATAGTAACCGACAATTACCGGTAAAAATAAGTAAATGAAAAAAAAAAAACAAGAGGAAATGACTCAAAGAGGTAACTATGTTTCAAAATCGTTCAAAAAACATCATCCAAGTTTGGTATGTTCAAAAAACACCATCCAAGTAAACTTTTTGTACAAAAAACACCAACAAACTATATGTTTTGTTCAAATATTACCCACCAGTAACTGACTCTTACATGTTAAATGGTGACTTGACTTAACTATTATGACATGGCATAGTAATTATTGACAAAACAATAAATGATATATTCCTCCTTTAAAACTCGATTTAGGGTTTCTTCATGAACGAATGACTTCTTCTCCTATGATTGCTCTTCTTCTTCTAAAGTGATGATCTCGAAGTCAAGTCCAAAACCCTAATTCTTTACTTAAGGCAAAAAGGGCTCCTTTACCCCTACCTTAATGAGCCTCCCTCCCCCTACGGCCTAAATCCATAAAAAGCCCCAAAAGGAATCCAAGCCCAACTATAAGTCCTCTAAGGCCCAATATGGCCTAAGAACCCCCAACATGGCCTTAAGCCCAAAAATGACTTGCTACAATTAGGTGGGCATGTGTCCTAACTTAAACAAGTCCATGCATACGCCCAACATATGTTGAAGCCTCTACGATTTGGATGTCAAGCCAGTACGCCCGGTGTACTCCTAGCGTACTAGGCTAGGGTCAAGAACCGCTAATCTTCCAAAGGCCATAAATTCTTCATTCGAATTCCGATTTCATCATTATTTATATCCATGGGAGCTAATTTAGGCATCAAACAACCATACTGAGGGTCTAAAGAATGACAAAATCAGACTTGGAATGAAGAAGTTATGGCCTTCGGAAGATTGGTGGTTCTTAACCCTAGCTGAGTATGTTAGGTGTACGCTAGGAGTACGTCAGGCATACTGGCTTGAAATCCGGACCGTAGAGGCTTCAGCATATGTTGGGTGTATGCATGGACTTGTTTAAGTTAGGCCTTAGGTCCACCTGATTGTAGCAGGTCATTTTTTAGGCTTAAGGCCATGTTGGGGGATCTTGGGCCATATTGGGCCTTAGAGGCCTTATAGTTGGGCTTGGATGCCTTTTGGGGCTTTTTATGGATCTGGGCCTTAGGGGGAGGGAGGCCCATTAAGGCACGGGTAAAGGAGCCATTTTTGCCTTAAGTCAAGAATTAGGGTTTTGGACTTGAGTTTGAGATCATCACTTTAGAAGAAAAAGAGCAACCATAGGAGAAAAAGAAGTCATTCGTTCATCAAAAAACCCTAAATTGAGTTTGAAATGAGGAATATATCATTTATTGTTTTGTCAATAATTATTATGCCATGTCATAATAGTTAAACAAAGTCATCATTTAACATGTAAGAGCCAGTTACCGTTGGATAATATTTGAACAAAACATATAGTTTGTTGGTGTTTTTTGTACAAAAAGTTTACTTGGATGGTGTTTTTTGAACATACCAAACTTGGATGATGTTTTTTGAACGATTTTGAAACATAGTTACCTTTTTGAGTCATTTCCACTTGTTTTTTTTCATTTACTTATTTTTACCGGTAGTTGCCGGTTACCATAGAACCAAATTTGAACAAATAATATACTTCGTTGGTGTTTTTTGTACAAATGCTTTACTTGGATGGTGTTTTTTTGGACACACCAAACTTGAATGGTATTTTTTGAACGATTTTGAAACATAATTACCCATATAAATCATTTTCCCTTTTTTTTACAATAATTTATGTATGACATTATGCAAACAGTTATTTTTTGTTATTTTTGTCTTGTTATCGTGTTTTTATTGAGTCATATTCTTGTTAACAAAAAAAAAACACGCTATCATGTCGTGTGCGGGTCAAGAAAAAATAATTTGTATCATATTGTGATAAGCAAAAACACAGAACGATAGACCACCTTTAGAGGGATCAGTCTCCTGCAACATAAGAAACATATTACAATTAGTTTTGCACTATTTTAGGCCTATTTATTGTGTAAATACTAAAAAGACCTCTAAACTTTCAACGAATATTAACTAGAAAATATAATGTATTCGAGTGCCTCCACACAACTCGGATGTAGACATCTCTTCATTTTTTCCATCGAAGAAAAAGTTGCTTAAATTCAGGATATTATCTATGAAATTAGATATTTATAGAATGCATACTTCAAATCTAGTAACAATAACATGTTTGAATAGACCAAAGTACCCCTAGCAGTAAGGCTTATTACCAACACAAATACAGGTCAAACAAACAGTCAACCAATTAGGGTCTCCCTCTTCATTAAGAGGGACACCAAGAATCAATCAATTAGGACCCAAGAACATCAAACAAGCAATGCTGAAGCAACAAGCCAACAACAAAGCTTGAAGGACAATAGCAATCACAAATCAGAGACTCAATTTGACAACTCTTAGGTACAAATTTGAGGTTTAAATGGATTGTTCATATGGCAAGAAATGATGTATCTTATGGTGTTACAAAAACAAATTCCACCAATAGCCACAGTCTATTATAACAATAAAAGTTCAACAAATCAGCTAGTTTGAGTTCTGATGAAGTAAATACATCCCATCATCATTTTAGCTTTATAATTTGCAGGACAACAAGCACTGCATCCAAACTGACCTACACAAGATCATTACAATCATTAAAAAAAATATATCTTTGGACAATAATAACAAAAAATTTAAGTAGAGTTCTAAATAACAGTTTATAGCAATAAGAGAGCATGCCACACAGAATTTAAGTAGAGTTCCAATTTTATCGTATGTCCCCGAAGGGACGATGTATGACGCTAGGCCAGGCTATACAAAGCATAAACGCCTTTCAATAGCCACCGATGTGGGAAGCCATGAATTGCAGCATTTTCACCACGAATCAAAAGAGAAAAGTTAGAAATCAATCAGTATGGAAAACCCTAATTTTACTTTCTTCTTCGTTTTACCTCAAAGTCCACATACTGGAACCCATCAAGAGTAATCAAAGTCAACATACACATCAAAATGAGCAAGTCACAAGGTGATTTACTAAAAAATCAAGATGGGTGCTGGTTATTTTCTATTTCCCATCCTTTTTTTGAACAAAAGAATTTCACTTATTTAATTTTCTCAATAAATGACTATTATCTGGTCTATTAGCAAAGGGTTTTTATGTGAATGCAAGTAGTAAATTATGGCTGTTACCCAAATCGAAAAGGCGTTTTTTCTATTAACCAAGCAGAAAATGATTTTTTTTGTCCACAATATTTCGTTGTTGGTCAACAATTGTGGATTTTTTTTTTGTTTTTTTTTCACATGAACAAGTTTAAGTTATGTGATATGGAGAAAAATAGTAATGTGATCCGATACGAATTGAGTATTGCTGGGCCCAAATACTATTAAAGCAAAAATCTTATAGAGTTTGTATGGAAGGCACAATAAAGGGTAAATGAGAAAATTCACTTGGGTTGGCTAAAACCTCTA